GAGGAGATGGACGAACCTATGTTCGCCGATCCCCTCCCCGTACTATGTGACCAGGAGCGACACGTTTTGCATCACTTCCAGTCCCATAGATGTCAGTGCTGGGCTCCTGGAGCCCAGTTATGAGCTATTGAAGTGCAGAGTCTAAAGGTGATGCTAGGGGTCTTTTGGACCCCCAGCATTACCTTTAAAGAGTACCTGTCACCTCTAATCTGCTATCGCATGGGAAGCTTGTAAGCCCCCCTATGTGATAGCAATGAAAGTTAAAAAAAAATGTAAATTTAATAATAAATGTAAAAATAAATTTTTTTTAAAGGCCCCTGCGAGCACGTGTGCATTCACGTAAACATGCGTCGCGTGCGCCTAAGTAGGAAAATGACGATCGCGCTACACATGTTCGGTATTGCCACGCATGCCGGAGTGAGAGCAATAATTCTAGGGCCAGTATTTTTGGGTATCTCTAAACTGATGACCTGTGGGGGCTTTTAAAGCTTCCTCTATGGACTTTTTGGGATACTGAATTTTGTCGCAGCTTCAAAGACGCACACAATTTTTTACCTGGGCATGTTGGGTATCTATTTACTTGTTGTAACCTCATCTTTTATATTTTATTCAACAAATGGGTATGTTGTTGTTGTGTTTTGGGGCATTAAAGTGCTTTTTTCACAAAAGTTTGTGGTTTGATAAGGAATTGCGCAATAATATCGTGCAACATAAAAATTTGCAACTGCCACCATTTATATATAACATGGGTGCAAAAAAGAAAAAAAGGTCTCGGTCATGAACGGGTTAAAGAGTTATCTACTACAACCCCAAAAACTAAATATATGTAATTTTATAATTTTTTTAATGTAATTTATAGGGATGTCCCGATAACACTTTTTCAAGACCTTGCCCTCATCTACTTGCAATTACCGTTACTTTTTCTTAAAGGGACATGTGACTTTTTTTTCTAAAACAATACAGACAAATGATTTTAGGACAGTTTCTCACCAGAGCTCAATACAGATCTCACCAGGCTGCGTCCAGAATTTGGACACAGCCTGGTGACACCTGGATGCAGCCTGGTGCCATCTGGACTCAAGATGTCACCAGGCTGCCAATAAGTCTCTCCAAGGCTGTGTAAAGAGGTCACCAGGGTTGCCTACTGGGTCTCTCCAGCGCTGCTGACAGGTGCTGTGCTATGCCCGCTCTACGGGCGCGTTGTAAGCCGAACGGAGCGGGTGCTGGTCACCTGCATGCTCTGAGGCTGTTTTCGTGGTGTGGGGCTGCCTCGAGCAGTGACTGCACCAGGAATCAGGAGGAGGAGATGTGGGACTTGGCAGGCAGTGTTAAAAACATCTACTGCTAGGTCCCCAGAAGGTTGCTTCAGGACCCCACAAGCGCGGGCTCTGAGGCAGCCAATCCGAACAGCCAGTCTGTTTTAGACCCCTGATATTTCCCCAGAGCACCTGACCGTAAAGTGAAAAAAAATGTGTTATTAATTTAAAAATTGAAAAGTTTAGAAAAATGTGTGGTTTCGGCCTGACCTCTTTCTTTCTTTTTTATAAATTTTATTTCGGTGCACCTCTAGTGAATTTTTTTTTTTTTTTATAGAAGTTTCTATGATATGTCTGAAACATTTGATGAGGACTCCTGTGAAGGCGATTGTGGGATCCCTGATGTGAAGCTTATTGAAAAGATTGTAAGCCAAGTAGAGTTTTACCTGTCTGATGAGAATTTATCTCGCGATGCATTTCTGCTCAAACATGTACAGAAAAACAAGTTGGGTTTTGTCAGCATTAAACTGCTCACATCCTTCAAAAAGGTGAGGTTTTTTCGTTTTATCCATTTTGATGTTTTGCTAAGCATTGGCAAGTAGGAAGTGGTAAATAAGTAGACAGTTTAACTAAAATAAATAATCCTAGTGATCCTGCCATAAAGGTCCTTGTTCAGACACTTCCTGTTTTTAGGGTGACAACTCCTAGTTGTACTGTCCAGACTTTTGATAAGACCGTTTACCACATCAATACACACCTCAGCCATGGCCGTTACCATTCCAAAGGGTCCTGAGCAGTGATGTGCACCTGATGTTAGAATGTGCATCTAGACAAGAAGTCGGTGAACAAAGACTGAGGGATTGAGCAGCATTGAGATACAAAAAAAAAGGTAAAAACTGTATATTGTGAAACACAATTGTTTTTAATACACTATGCTTTAGCAACTTAATGCCATCCAGGTAGGGTTTACAACTACTTTGAGTGGACATTGTGTAAACCAGTCAGTAACATCAATTTACAACACAATTTTTCTGGTGTAGAGGGATTGGCTCTACCCACCTACTGACTGTCTGTTGCAGTTTGTCTTTTGAGAGAATGAGCTGTGACCTTCTTGGTCTGCTAATCATATGATGGGTGAGTTTCACAAATTCCCCAGCCAAGCTGTAAATGGATCTCTTGTTGGTGATTTCAGCTGTCTTGTTCCTAGCTATGCATCTGTAAAGTTAACTCACTTTTGAAAGCCCAATGATGCACTTGTAATGATGATAATTACAACCCCCTGGTGAACGGGGTATGGGGACATATTGTCCAATCCGTTGGGGTTTGTTATTGTAAAAATTAACAATCCATAGCTTGGATATAAAGATTTTCTTTAGAACGTTGCAGAGGTAAAGTACTTCCTTATACAATTGACTTAAAATTAAGGTTTGATGAGCCACAATACAAAATATTGTGCAGGTAAACACTGCTATTCTAGCTACTAGCCCTTTTAGAAACAAGAAATGGGAAAAACATTTTTTTCTCATCAATCCCCCTTAATTTAAACAGGGTATGTAATGTTGAGCTGAAAATACACAGAGGTATATTGTAACTATCAGCCCACAACAGAAGCAGCTGCCCAGAGAAGGAAGACTGGCTAGATAAAGGGAACAGTATAATATTTCACTAGCTCCTAAATGAAAATCATTAAAAATGCGCAAAAAAAGACTGCTTTCCTGCCACCTAAATATGAATAACGGGAGTATGTAATTGTTGGTGGTCATTCAAGTAGATCTAAACAAAAATTGGTAATCTTATATAACATGTTAATCTGAAAATCTGTATTCAATCTTTTTAAAATCTGCTGCTATCCATAAAACACCTAGTGATCCTGCCATGAAGGATATTGTTCAGGTAATTCCTGTTATGGAGTAACAGCAGTCTCCCAATTGCCAACACTCATAGCACAGGCGTTGTCTACTGTTTTCATTTTCGGTAAGCCTGAGCATTCATGTGTAGCTGATCCGTGAAGAAAAGAAGCAGCTAAAACATGCTTGGGGCAGTGGCATAGCCAAAGCAGCCCACGCAGCAGTTATGGGGCCTGTGGGGGGAAGATGGCGGTGAGTGGTGGCCCCATTAGGGTGGCTGTTCAAGCAAAATGAACATATAAAATCTGTTTGCATATGAAAATACAAATCCAATACTGTATTAAGAGCTGGAGAGGTTGGTGTTTACCCTGACCCTGTACCCCTGTGATATTTCCAATTTAGGAAGATTGGAATGATGCACACTATCCACTAGGCAGATTTCATCCCCCCCCCCTTCTACCCCCACCCCCCAATAAAAAAAAAAAAAATTCGGCCAGTTATTCAGTATAGTAAATTTGTAAAAGAACTCGCAAGTCAAAAAAAATTAACCCTCACAAGAGTGAAGTGTTTGTTTTGGTCTCTGTGCAAAAATTAAGATATTGTCACTCGATTCTCTGTCCCACCTGGCTGCTAGACTGGTCCCCACAACCTCCTTCAGCCCAGGCTCTGGCACTCTTAATCGGTGCCATCATCAGGCCCATACACATACTCGCATTGTATGTGAGGATGCCAAAGGGACATTCCACAGCCAGAGGTGAGCGTTGCTTCCGTAGGACCAAGGATTGGGTGAGTATATCTTTATTTTAGACCCTAGACCAAAATGAGTACTTGACACTTGCAGTGCAGGGGTAGCCTCACTGCAAAGGTTCATTTTATAAATGATCAGAATTCTTCTTTAAGCTGTCTTGCTGGTGTAGATTTATTGCCCTCAAAGCTTCTGGCCAGCACTGAAGTTAACCCTGTATAGCTAACAGTCTTTTCGGGGTATACAAATCTGAGGGTTTCCTCGGCTAAAGGACAGCTGCGTTTTGTAATTCTTACAAAAAAAGCGTTTTTAAAAGTTTGGATTGGGTGCTAGAGTAATTGTGTGCAAAGGCATTTAACAATTTTGTAATTGTTTACAATATTGGAATGGTTGTTATGTGTGTTTTGTTTTTTTTGTTTTTTTTTTAATAGTTTCACGTTAAAAAAATAAAATAAAAATAACCTGGAGGGAGAGTTAAGTTTTTAACATGAGACATACAATATTGTACTAATATTCTTGTGAAATAAAGAACAATGGTGTTGTATTTTACTGACATATGTTTACTTTTTAATTTATGCTTTTTTTTTTTTCCATTTTTCAGATTAAGTCTTTTACAAGAGACTGGCGACAAACCTTGTACGCACTCAGATTTTCAGACATCCTAGAGGTTAATGAAGAGGAAACCAAAGTGAGGCGTAAAACCCCTGTTCCAAATTCTTTGCTTGGCCTCCCTCCCACTAAACTACTGTTGGCCTGGAATCTAGATTCTACAGATAAGACCAGTCCTGTAAAACCCCAGAAGAACTTTCTGGAAATGGTCACTTCTCTGTTTGCTTCATTTGGAATTCTCACTTCTGTACGTATCTTAAAACCTGGAAAAGAAGTGCCAAGTGATGTCAAGAAATATTTGGCTAGATATCCCGAGCTAGCTACAAAAAATTGTGCACTTGTAGAATATGAGAACCTGGAAGGAGCTCGAAAGGCACTAGAGGCATTTAGCATCAGGCAAAGTGCCACCAATGGTGACGGTGCAATCAGAGTTGTACCGGTAAGTGGAAGAGGTACACGCAAGAAAAGTGGCATGGAGTCTGACGAAGCCGAAAACTGTGACTTGCCAGATAAGAAGTTGCCAAAGCAGCATGGTAGACTTCCAATAAAACTGCAATACACAGTGGAGGATGCTTCTTGTTGCAGCTCATCAGAATCTGACAGTGCTCCAGCTTCTCCAGTTTTAGCGCCTCGTTTTCCTTGTGCTATGAATTTTGCAAGCCCAGATCTTTCATTTAAGCCAAGTTTTTTCAGCAGCCCTCGCTCTAGCCCATTACTGGCACGCAAGTGCTTCTCTCAACCTCATCACAACCTTTCTCCTTTGGCTACAGATCATGGGAATAGAGTATGTTCTAGCTCTGGGACAAGTCCAGAAATGTTTCAGCGGAATCCAGAGCATTCTTACGACAGCGGGATTTGTTCTTGGGTGCAAAGACGGAAAGCTGCTGCTCACAATCAATACATGGAGAATAAGTCTGTGCCTTGTAGCCCTCTGGTGCTCAAGAAGGCTCCGGGCTCACTTGGGCTTCCCAGTGGGATACTTCGACTTCCACATGGGCCAGATGGAAGTAGAGGCTTTCACAATAGCATTGGCAGAGGGAAACTCGTCCTAAGGCACTAAGTTAAATGTTCTTCTAAATGTCCTGTTGCTTTGTTTACGGGTGGTTGCTTGTTTTGTGTTTTTGTTTTTTTTCTTATTTCTTTCTTTGGACTTGGGTGATTAAAGATCAAGGTCAATGGGATGCACTTTGTATGCTTTAAATCCTCTGTTTGATAGTTTCAATGTTATCTTTTCATGTGAACTCTTACAGAGGCACACATAAAATACATGTAAAGATGAGCCAAAATTGAAAGCCAAAATTTTAAAATAAAACATCCTTGGTATCTAGATGGTTACAGCAGGCAAAGGTTTGAAAATGTACTTGTAAATTATTGTGCTATTTGGAGTCTCATAGAAATAACTGAACTTCAGATTTGTGAGGGGTTTGAAATTGTGTAAAAAAAAATTAATCTATAATGTATAATCCAGCAGTGCGTAAATACAAAATTTTCCAGGCAGTTATTTTATTCAATTGGCAAAGGTTTCCTTTTATGTTAGAGTTATGCATACACAATAAAATATGTAACTTTGCAAGTGTGTGGGGTGTTTTTGGCTTTTATTTAATTTTATCTTTTTTTTTTTGGTCATGGCTTGGAGCAGGCAACTTGAATGTTTCAGAGAATATTGAACTCCTGGTAATGGTAGGAGTATTTGGCCTATTAAAGTTTGGTTTGGAAAATTTATCTGGTGTATATAGAGACTTCTACAATAGGTGATCCTACTTTGAATGCAGCATTCAACATTACAGTAGGAGGTTTGCAAGCTTTGAACTACCTTTTTCATAGTTTGGCACATATTGTTTTAAATATATTTGACTGTCCTGTAATTAGGGATGCACCAACATTTCAGCCAATGAAACAAATCGTTGAAAATTGTACTTTGGGCCGAATGCCGACAGTACCATCTTTCGGGCAAAATTGAGGTGCATCTCTAGTTTCTCTCCTGTGCGCTGTTCTGTGTCCCTTCTGGCGCAGCGTCTAGTGGAGGAAAGAAACTGTCAGGCGGTTGAGAGGGGTGGGGAGTGGCGCCCTGCTCGGCCTCCTGTGACAGATCAGGATGGAGAGCGGTGTGGGAGGAGACAGCTGTAAGCACTTGCAAGAGGCCAAGCCAGCGGTGTGGGGGAGGAGTATGCTGTCAAATGAGACTGAGCTCTACTCCCCACACTGCTGGCTCAGCCTCCTGTGACAGTGAGTCAGGATAGAGAGCAGTTACAAGCAGTAAGTGATCAGCTGATCGCTGACTGTTTGTAAATAATTGAGGGCATGGTACGTTTACTCTGTCCCCAATTATGAATGGAACAGTAAGTGCTCTACATCACTTCTGTTCATTCATGATCGTAAACATACTCTGTCCACAATCTCCAAGTTATGAATGGACAGGAACACTTACTATAGAGGCTTCCTGTTCATAACAGGGGCTACAGAAAGATTGAGAGACTCTATCCTCATATTATAATAATTAATTTTATTTTTTTTCAAAAGGGAAATATCAGGGGTCCAAAACAGACCCCTGATATTTCCTAGAGCCCCCAACAGTAAAGT